AACTTAAATGAGATTAAATTGAGCGAAGTTGTACAGCGTTTCAATACATACAGTGCTTACACCCCTCTCGTTCAATACTGATACTAGGACAAAGTTTTTTGAACGAAGTTGATCTTTTTGATAAAGTAGACTAGCCCCCCTCCCCCAAATAGACGACCACCCTTTATTAGAAGGCCACCCCTGTATAAGGCCGCGTTCGAGCAAAAGTTCAAACGCCCTATTAGAAGGCCATGCACTAATTAATTAATATATTCCAAAATTATCGAAATTTTCATAAATATTAATTAATAATTAAGGAAATATAACCGATTTCCTAATGATTTTTTTGCGAAATCCTTTCTTTCCTATCATAAATAGTACATTTTTTACAAAAAATGGTAGTTTTTTCAGCAAAAAACACCTAAAAAACAATAATTAAAATTAGTAATTAATTATTAATTTTTTAAATGATTTTAATTGAAAACTGGCCAAAAATTGACCCCAATAGAAGACCACCCAAAAAGTAGCGATATACCAAGACACTGTATAAGGGCATGCCCTTTTATTCTGGGGGATGGGGAGTAGTACGCTTGAAGTCCAGCAGTTGGGTATGCACTAGTATCAGTATTTTACTGAAAAACTGATACTAGCAATACTGATACTGACGACTACTAGATACTGGCAATACTGATACTAGCAATACTGATACTGACGACTACTAAATACTGGCTATNACGGATATTGATGTCGAAAACAATTTTTTTAACTTCATACTGAAAAAGTGAAAATTAGACAAAAAGTGGTAAAAAACCCAACACTCTCTTTTTGCCTAATCTATGCTTTTTCACTAAGAAGGAGGTGTTTTTCAAAGTGACAGAAAGGTGTCAAATTTAATTTTCTCATTTTGAGACTACTCCCAGCACTATGACCTTTCTTCAGAAAGTTATGCATTTTTCAAATTTTTTTTTTAAAGTCTAGAAAGGCTCAATTTTTGGGTTCATAAACATTTCTCTCCTTTTCTACATATTCAAAGTTTTTCTTGCACATAATCTGATAGAATAAAATGTTTTCTTCATAATAAGACGTTTTTCAGAATTGAGCCTTTCTAGACTTTAAAAAGAAATTTGAAAAATGCATAACTTGCTGAAGAAAGGTCATAGTGCTGGGAGTAGTCTCATTTTGTAGCCAACACTTTCTTGTACATCAGGCTATGCTCCAAATTCGAATTTTTTTCGAAAAAGACCGATGGTACCCTTAACTTCAAGCGGATGCCTATAAAATTCACTATTTTTCGTTATTAGAATCCCCAATTCCGATCACACTTTGCAATGAGAAAAAGTCAGTTTCGTCTCCTCTATCTGTTAATGAATTAAGATTCGTTAGCTATTTGGAAAGTTCGTCGAAACTGGTGAGAATTGATCAGAAAGTTCAATTTTTCTGTTAAATTGCACAAATTCCAACGAACTTTTCGGTTGATTTGACAGTGTTAATTGCATTAATAGATAGTGGAAACGAAACTGAGTTTTTCTCATAGCAAACCATGATCGTAGTTTGGTATTTTAATACTGAAAAATAGTGAATTTTGTAAGCATCCACTTAGTACTGGTACATGCCTACTAGCAGGTATAATGATACTTGCTTGAATTCTTTAATTATAGACGGGCTGCCAGTTCACATCATCCTATAAGTCCAGGTATTGTGAATTGCATCAACATATTACACCGAAAACAACTATTAGTCTTCATAATGACAACGATAGTGATGTGTCTACAGAATATGAATATGATTTCGAAGAACAACAGTCAATTATACCAAAAAACCTCATCAGCTACAAAAGTGACGAAAAAAGTACCTAAAATGGATGTCAGAATAAGTGTGACTAGACTAATGCAAACATTTGACGAAGAACAAGCATCGTACGAAATTTTTACGAATGAATGTGAAACACTGAATTCAAAAAATGAAAGTAAAACCAAGCCACGGCGAACCTGTGGAGCTATTGCCGCAGTATTTAACTGTGGCATTATTTTCGGTTTAGCTGAACTATTCCGATCTGAGTCTATCAAACAAGTTTACCAATTTAAGGCTAATATATTTGATGGAAGAGAAGACTTATTACCTAATGTGGTTTGTTATGATGATGCTTGCCATCTTAGGCGTTTTTCGTGGAATACAAAAAGGAATTTAAAACATGAAACAAAACCATCACAAAAATTAGCCCAAATGGATTTTACGATCGATAAATTCCACATTAAGAATCACAAAGAACCTTGGTGTCTTAAACACATGGATCCTTATCAACATCCAGTCGTGAGTACGGTCAACACAGGGGTTTGTGTGCAAATCTTTCGACGGATGGCTCTCTATAAAAATATTTTCCGTAGTTTAAACTATTCATGATTTATGTGGATGATGATGAACATTTGCGAACTTCGGAACGAAGATCGTTTGAAAGATCTGTCTCGAAAAAAATAACACAAAAAGTTAGTCTTTTTTCTTTGTGCGATGCTATAGTTCCTTCTTTCGACTAGCATTTTCGTCGTTCGTTTCGCTGATGACTTTAATTGTTGTATTTATATTATACAGATCATGAATCATTTCGACATATCATATTAGTATTTGGAACAGTTGGCTATTCGAGAGAACTATTTAATCGCTTCGATGGCGATTTGTTATTTAAACATTCGGGACTTGAACCCTTTCAACAATCATATGCATATGAATTATCTATTAACGGAGTGCATGATACAACATATTTTGACCGTCGTCATTTCCAGTTAACATGGATGTTCTACAAAGCGGCTGAATCAATGTATAAAAGAGGTGTACGTTACGTCCAGATGCCATTGGAACGGTTCACGAAAAGATGAGTATAAGTACTTATACTCATCTTTTCGTGAAAATACTATTTTCATCTGCTGTGCTTATGCTTTGTCTTATGCTTTACATACCGCTAGCAAAGAAAAACTTTAAGCAGAACTTTTTGTGCCGAACTCGACTTGACTGACCAAATGCAAATGGCAGTAAACGGGGTTTTCATCCTGAGCCAGTTGATACAAAGGTTGAGATCATTTTAGAAGAAACTTTATCAAGTTATCTGTCGAAAGTAAAAACAATTTCTTTTTACATACTGTTTAGATTTATAATTTGTGCACCAAAAGCAAGTGTTCCATCATCAAGTGATTTTTGTGATATAGATGTGGATTGTCCGTCTCTAACTCATTTGTTATTTGGCATTAATCAATTACATACGAGCGGTGTACATGCAGACTCTGTATCGAGCAAAATCTCAGAAGCTGAATAACACATAACTGCATATATATAAATGTTAATACGGATGGATGTTCATTTCCATATTAGATATTTATGGAATGTAGGAATACTCATATTGTCCGTATTCTTACTCTAAGACCTGTATATTCCATGGATACGTTCTGTATCCGTATTATGACATCTATGGTTCAAACAGCGGTACAATGAAACAAATAAATTCGATGATACAGTTAAGCTCTTGCACATCGAGAAAACTGGAATATTTAGTAACTGGTCATTATCGACACGATTCATGAGTATTTTATTAAACAATTTGATGTAGTAGAAAATTAATTATGGTATGGAAAGTTAATAAAAATATGAAAGCTTTGTAAATGATAGATGAAAACACTTTGAAAACAGAAAAAGTGGAATATCTTGAACAAAACAAGAAATTGAGATCATTTGGAAGAAGAAAGCGTTTATTTATTTACCACTGCTTTGTTGCCAGTTCAGAATTTGTTCTGCTGTCAGGATTCCAGCAGTACCAGCTTTTGTTACAAAATCTTGTATAGCATGTTCAATCGCACCTGTTCTACTTTTCCATTGAGTTGATTCGCCAACAATTGTTGTTGACAATGTAGGACACCAAAATTTGCCACTCCATTTTCATTGCCAACTATGAAAACCTCCTTTAAATTGTGTCTTACATGTTGTTCCAAATAGACTTCGTGTATCTTCATCGCTCCATGAATTATAATATTTATAGATGGCAGTGCCTATTTGCATGCCACATGTCACCCAATTACCTTCCATACACGCTTGGACAGGTATGTTTTGTGCATGATTACTTGTAATGATCATGATTGCACAAATTAGAAATATAATGTAAATTTTCGTTTGCATCTTTGTACGTTTGAGTACAGTGTATTAAGCTTTGATATTTGATACTAATAAAATTCAACCTTTCTGATTTAAATATTAATTTTCATTAAAGAGACCACTCTCAAATGATGTTATCACTTCCTAGCATGGTAATGACTAATTATAAGAAAGTAATAAAGAATTTTTTTAAGTTTCATCACAGATGCTTATCTTTTTGTAGACTTATTCATTATGATATAATTGCGTCCTTGCTTAGTTTTATTCAATATTGCTTCTTATTCCTGGAAATCAAAGAAAATGTCGTCACAGAGTGTATAGATAAATTGACACAATGACGGTGATAAGAACATGCTGAAATAAGTAGATTTTTTAAATCGTTTGAAAGAAACAAAAGCATTTCTTCTCTTTTCTTTCATACTTTATCATTCTGTTTTGTCTTCATTACGGTGAAACAGAATCTACGAAACTAAGCTGTGGGAATTGAAACCAATTTTTTAAGAAACAATATTCTGCCATAATATCTTGTGCTGTATCCTTTTAGTAGACTCCTTTTAGTGGAATATCTTGATTGCAGATCCTAAACTCAAGGTCAATATGACATTGCTTCAATTTCTTCTTCTCCCTCAGGACACTTGTGAATTAAATACTGCAATTGGTTATGATACGAAGGAACTGTTGCTGCCGTTGCTGTTGCAGTCAAATAAATCCAAAAGCCTGTTCTCGTATACCAGCTTGCATATGGCATTACCAGTCTTTGTAAATCGAGAACATTATAGACAGATGCTATCGACGCTGTCTTTTCCTTAGCAAACTTTCTTTAGTTCATCAAGTGTTGGATATTTAAGTGAACTTGGCCAATTAGCAGAAGAAATGGAGACAGTATCGACATGGTGATTAGTCCTAAGGTTAAGTCTTTTTTATCGTTGTTTTCCGTATCAGCGTCTTAACGATTGTATGAATGAAACTAAATTCAAGACGATTTTTATTTTCTGGCGTTCTATCGTTGCTTTCGCAAAAAAGCAGACAGTGCAAGAGAGAAAAAAGCTGTATGTTCTTATATTGCTCTGTAGCTAAGTCGTACGCTGCTCCTCAGATTTCGTTCGGAAAATGTTTCTGAGTTAGAATTTCTGAGATGCACGCAAATCGATCACATGGATGGCGTTTTGAACAATGTAACGAAGAGTAATACTGCCAACATGGCTCTGTCGATTGTTGTACATTGTTCCGCACGGTCTTTTTATAGAGCAAAATAAAAAAATGCAATCTTCATCACAACGCAATGTCTCGTACGACGGATATTGAAACTTATTAAAGAGAAAAGTGTAAAAAATTTGAAAAGTGAATGAATCCATGAGATAATGTTTTGTCGTGAGGATTATTTTGCCTGTTGATCTCATTTGGAGAAAAGAACGAATATGATGTTGATTAGTAATCAATGCTCCTGTAGAGAATGTTGAGTAATTTGAGGTTTCGAACATGTATTAGTGAATCAATCTGAAGAACGTTTAAGAAAACAAATCTTGCTATCAGATGAGTGACAGTTGATATCCCATGAGACTGTTTGATCTTTCGATATTGCTCCTCTCACTCCAGTTTTGCGTTACTCTGCCTTCCGAAATTCCATTAGGATAGGGAAAACCAATAATTGTGGTTAGCTGATAGATTGCGCGGCTCATGTAACACTTTCGCTATGGATTATAGAGTGCATCGAGAATAAGCGGTTGTCTTTTTTAAACGTTTCATTTGAGCTAGTTTCAGTTATGGATGATCCACAACAGATATTTCAGATGAGTCACTAGTAAGTGATTGATTTTTTTCGGAGTACGTTTTAATGAGGTTCCCGTTTTAAAGCTTTTGTGAGGTACAATGCTTTCTTCGCCCGACGTAATAATGATCAAGGTGGTAATGACGTGGTTAGTGTCGTTTAATTTTCCAAGTTGGCACGGACGATCTTTTTGAAAGAGATCATTGCCAAAGCTTCACGTGAATTGCCCATTCGTGGTAGTAACACCAATTAAAGGAAACACAGTTAGGTAAACAAAGATAAGATATCTTAAAATAAAATCATCATAAAATATATAGTAATAATAGAAAAATGGAAATTCTATTTATTTTCATAAATGTAAAAATAATATTAAATATGAGTAGCCAATATAAATGTCACCATAGCGTGCATAACTAGTCTTGATCACTCAGAAAAAGAGCCATATACAATCAAAATTTCAAATGAAGAAAGAAAAGAATCGAAAATATGTAAGACAATTTGTAAATATTTAATAATAATTTGTTTAATAATTATTATTATTCATTCATGTATACCAGTAATAGCAAGAGAATATTATCATTATAATACGACAGAACCTAATGATACGATTAATCGTCCATCATATGTTCAATCTCTTCAATATTCATACATATTTGTTGGTTTAATAGTTGATGGTTTATTTATTATTATTATGACATATTCTATTTTAAAATTTAATAATTTAAATGAAAACTTTACATCTATTATGTTAAGTGCTACAAATGAAGAACGTTACATTGAAATAAAAAATGATAAATATTATAACTTAAAAGAACCAAAGAGTTTAGATTATTTTTTAGTACAAATTCAAGATTTAATAAAAAAGTAACGCATAGTAGTTATAGAATATCACTGTTTACAATAACATATGCACTTGCTATTGATATAATATTTGCTATTATTGCAATTCTAAGATTAGTATTGTATAAAATTGGACAATTACAAAATTTATTTACAATATTTTTATTAGTGGATACAATTGTATTATCAATATTTATTATAATATTTGTAATTATTGTTGTTGCTATTAATATTAAGGTAACACGTGGTATTATTAAATTATTAAAACGTACAAATAAGGAAGCTGTTATTGATTATCAATTAGCAATGTATTATAGAAAATCTAAAGATGAATTAGTCCAATCGAAGATAGAAACATCAAAAAATAATCTGAAACATTTCTAATGAATAATTCTCACCAATTAATTCTAATTCATGACCACAATAATATAATTTGTATTCTATTAATTCATCTGACAAATTAAAGTCGGATAAAAGTTTAAATTTAGATAATAATCTTTCAATTAAATCTTTTTCTCTAATTTTTTAAATTATTATGTTGAAACTGAATAATGATAACATTTTTTCCTTCGTTATTATATGCTTTTGTTTCAAGTTTAGAAGAAGATTCTTTAAATAATGCAGATATTCCTCTGTCAGTAAATTTAGGTTTAAAATGAATAAATAAATTTTGTGTGCTATCTGTTTTATCGTTATCCAATTTATCATTTATATAATATTCATCTAATATAGGTATAAAAGCTTTTGATATTAGTTTTGACTGTAATTCGTCGTTGACTTTTGGTAATTTTGATGGAAATATTATCATGTACAATATTGTTTGTTCCGTAAGACATTCTAGAAACGTTTCGACAAATCGCTGGTTGTATGTGTTGTCATCTATAATTTGATTGTTGTACATTAAACATACTCGATATAATTGATGATCGGATTCTAAATATGCTCTTTCTTTTAGCACTTGTTCAATTAATTTACATATTTTTTTATCTGTTTGAAATTTAACCGGCGTAAATTTAAATTCAAATTTGTTCTTATCTCACCAGCACATCTTCCATATTCAGTAGTTAAGACTCCCAGATATCTGAATTTTGTCACTTGCTCTACTGTTTGTCCATTAATAATAATGTTAACCAATTTACCACCTTGTCTTGAAATTACTATCGTCTTCGTCTTCTTAACATTAATCTTCATGTCAAACTTCTCACTAGATTTAACAAGTGAGTCCATCAACTTCCGCAAATCTTCTTCTGAGCTGGCTACCATTGCTTGGTCGTCTGCAAACCTTACGTCTTTCAGTAGTTTACCTCCAACTTTGATTCCTGCACTGACATCTTCCATCGCTTCTATCATCATCATTTCAACGTAGATTGAAAATAGTAACGGCGAAAGCAGGCAGCCTTGTCTTACTCCACGCCCAATTACTGCCGGTTCTGACATTCCGTCTGCCACTCTTACAATAGCTTCTTGATTTAGGTACAAATTCTTTATGAGCCTTCGATCTTTCCAATCTTCGCCAATATTTCCATCAGTTTCTTCTAGTTTACTCTATCAAAGGCTTTCTCAAAGTCCACGAAACATATAAAAACATCCAAGCCGTGTTCCAAGCATCTCTCGTAGAGCATACGCATGACGCCGATTGCCTCTTTCGTTCCGCATCCTCTTCTGAAACCAAACTGTGTTTTACCACTGAAATATTGTGTTTTGGCTTCGAATCTTTTTGCCAGCATTTTCAGCATTATCTTCGAAGCATGCGGAAGCAGCCTAAGCGTTCTCAGCCTAAGCGTTCTGTGATCAGCACATTCTGTTGCATTTGCCTTTTTCTCCGTCCTGACAATTATAGCTTTGGTGAAATCTCTTGACCATTCTCCTTTTTCATACATATCCTGACATATTCGTATCAATTCCTTTTTAGCACTAGCTTCAAGTTTCTTCAACAGCTCTGCCGGTATTTCATCAATTCCATCTGCTTTCTTGTCTTCCAATGGACTTATCGCTGCTTCAATTTCGTCTTCCACAATTTCAGGACCTACGTTATCTACTTCCACATCCATTATACCAGATAATAAGCCCATTATACCTGAAGTAAATATGCAAGCACATGAACAACCTAGAACTTGTCCATTGGAACATGCA